CCTAATTTTCCCTGCAGAGATGATGTCATGTCAGTGAATCCTACCTGTTTGGTCCTTATTATTCTTCTGTTTATTAGCATTATCTTAACTATTAAGGGTTACTTGATTAGCTGTGTTTGGAACTGCTGCTGATACATCAATGGCAGGAGCGCCTCCTATGTCCTGGTTTATGTTACCAGCAATGACGCTACGGTGCTCCTACCCCCCTATGATAATACCACTGTGAATGGTGCTGCCAAGGAGCCGCCGCCACCCTACATGTCTGCCTAAGCCTTTGAGTGGGCGGAGCTGGGGGCAGCAGCTTGACTTTTCAGGTACCTGAGCAGTAGTTCTGTTATTTCACTCTTGAGGTGAGCTCTCTGCCCTTGTTTGTTGCTGAAATGCTACTTTAAAAAATTTAGATGCTAAGTTGAAACCTGTAGTTTTCCTCAACATATGCTTTGCTGGAACACTGTGATAGATTCGCTGTAGAACACTTTCTGTAGGATTAGGGGTGTAAAGGGCTTCACCAACCTTCCTTAGGCATTGAAACTTCCCCCAAATCTAGATGGACCTAGAGTCAGAGAAGTCTGCTTTCCTACCTGCGGGACCCCAAAGTTGGGCAATTAGTCACACGTTTCTCTCCGTTCCCTCTCTTTTGAAAGTGAAAAATAAAACAAAAAAATAGACAACTTTTCTTAAACCATTCCAATGTAGAGAACAAAACTTTATGAAAACAGGAATGCCAATTGTGTAATTGTTGTTCTAATTAGGTAAATAGAAGTCCTTATGTATGTGTTTCAAGAATTTCCCCCATAACCTCCTTTTTGACTTAAGTTCAATGACAGTTTGCATTTGGTGGTAAAGGATTTTCTCCATGGCCTGACTTAGACCTTTGGAAAGCACCAGGCAGTGGGAGCAGTAATCACCTGATGTCTGTTCTCCTGCATACCATGTCCAGGGTCATGGGGCAGTGTGCCTCGCCTGTGTTAGAGGGTGAAACGGATGTGTTTGGCGCTGCATGGGATCTGGTGCTCCTCTTCTGGATTCACATCCCCACCCCGGGCCCGCTTTTACTGAGTGTTCCGCCCTAGCCTGGTTCAAGGAAGTCATCCAACTGACTTTATCAAGTGGAATTGGGATATGTTTGTTGTATATTTGCCTGATGACATGGAAAATGTTTTCCTCCTTCTTCCCCTGCAAAGTACATTCTACTTCTTTGAACTCCAAGTACACCTAATCACCTTTTAAAATGTAAAAGTCTTCAGAAAAATGAGGATTGCTTTCCTTTTACGTGCTTATTATCTTGACTACCTAAATTGCAAGAGATTTTTATATATTCATATGTTCAAAAGTCGGCAACTCTCCTGTTGGTTCATTATTGAATGTGCTGTGAATGAAGTCTTTTGCAATTAAAATGAGATTCGCCCACAACCAAGATGAAAAAGAAAATCCCTCTTAACACTACTTTTGCTACATTCCAGATGTTTTGATATGTTGTGTTATGTCTCTATTTTTGTATGTGTCAAAGAATTTTTTGACTTCTGCCTTAATTTTGTTGTTTAACCAAAAGTCAGGAGCAAGTTGTTTAGTTTCCACTTATTTGTGTGGTTTTGAGAGTTCCTTTTGGTATTGATTTCTACTTTTATTCCACTGTGGTCCAAGATTCTTGGTATAATTTTGATTTTTTGAATTTATTGAGATTTACCTTATGACTGAGCATGTGGTTGATCTTAGAGTATGTTCCATGTGCAGATGAAAATAATATATTCTATGGTTGTTGGGTGCATTGTTCTATAGATGTCTATTAGGTCTAATTGGTCAACTGTCAAATTTAAGTCCATAATTTCTTCGTTAGTTTTCTGCCTTGATGATCTGTCTACTGATGTCAGTGGGGTGTTGTCCCCTGCTATTATTGTGTGGCTGCCAAAATCTTTTCTTAGATCCAGAAGTACTTGTTTTATAAATCTGGGTGCTCCAATGTTGGGTGTGTATTTATTTAAGATGGTTAAATTTTCTTGTTAAATAGAACCCTTTATCACTATGTAATGCCCTTCTTTATCCTTTTCTACTGTTGTTGGTTTAAAGTCTATTGGATCTGATTCAAGAATAGCAACTTCTGGTCTTTTTTGTTTTCCGTTTGCATGATAAATCTTTCTCCATCCCTTTACTTTGAACCAACAAGTGTCATTACGTGTGAGACAGGTGTCTTGAAGACAGCAGAAGGATGGGTCTTGTTAAATCGAATTTGCCACTGTTTGTGTTTTAAGTGCAGTGTTTAGGCCATTTACATATTTGTGTGTGAGGCTGTGTTCCCGCTTGTTTAATTTCTTTTTTTCTTTTGAGTCTCACTCTGTCACCCAGGCTGGAGTGCAGTGGCGAGATCTTGGCTCACTGCAAACTCCGCCTCCCGGGTTCACACCATTCTCCTGCCTCAGCCTCCTGAGTAGCTGGGACTACAGGCACCTGCCACCATGCCTGGCTAATTTTTTGTATTTTTAGTAGAGATGGGTTTCCCGTGTTAGCCAGGATGGTCTCGATCTCCTGATCTCGTGATCCGCCTTTAGCAACCTCTTGCCTGGATGATTGGGATCCTGGGCTAGTCCCTTCTCCAGGCATATGTGAAAAAAAAAAAAAAAATCTCAGGACCCCTAACATACTAAGCCAGAGAGAAATATCAAGCTGGGAATGGGTCATGCAAACCTGCCCCTCGAGGTTGGTTTCTAAATAAGATAGCTACAAATATAAAAAGCCATATACCATCCTCACAATTTGCCCACAAGGAAATTTCTTGTGAACCTCAAGATCCTTACCCTAAAACAGTTCTATTGAATTTCACCCTGGCAGTGTAATTGATAGCTTATCTTCACAGGTGTGGGAAAAATGACAGAACATAAAGTCATCCCTCTGCTCACCCAAGACAAATCCATATCTGATTGCCTCCTCTGCCCTATTTTTGTGATCTTATGTAAAAATGCAGATACACTGAGCCAGATGAAGGCATAAGTGACTATTTCCTCTACTCCCCTCCCACTTGAAAATTGTGTATTCAGTGAAAGATCGATCAAAGACTCAAAAGGATGCAATCACTTGCCTCTTATCTACTGACACATTTAAAAAGTATTTCTTCCTCTTCCCCCAATATCCACTGTTTCTCCTTCAAATATTGAAGCCCTCAAAATCATCTTTGGAGAAAGGCATAGATCTACCTCCTGGGCACGCACCCTTAACTTTGGCCAAATAAACCTAAAATGATTGAAACTCGCCTTGGTCACTTTCATTGATTTACACAGGCCTGATCATCCTGCTGTGGTGGTGTCCTCCTGGGCCTAGTGAAACAAATACTGTCAGTGGCTCAACAATGTTGCACTGAGATTGTGTCAGTCAAGGTGTCACACGGATCTGAGAGACAAACTTTTGCCTCCAGATCCAGGGAGGTCGGTGGGCACATGAAATGAACTAGCTTTGCTAAGGGGGATATCTGGGTTGTGGGGCAGATGGCAGTACAGGTTCTCACATGGCCTTGGCTGCTCAGCAGTCTTATTGACCTCTAGGCATAAACCAAGGGCAGAGTGCTTTTGGATGTCCCTCAGCTTTGGTGCGACATGGGTAATGTACAGATGAGACTTAATCCGTTTTGGGCAGGTTTCTGAGTCTTGAAGGACCACCTGTCCATGAATCCTGGGCATCTGTTGTCCCTTGCTGCCTCTCTGTGAATAATAAAGTTGCTTTACTAAAACTCATGTGAATGTTCTGTCTTACTGAACTCATGAACGTGGCAAAGTAACCCAGGTATGGCGAACTTGCTTCACACACAGTGATTACCCTACTCCAGCTTTCTAGGTCTTTGTAACAGCCAAGTTGGAAAGTGTGATGGGAACGCAAAGGGAAAGCATAGTAGTATTGCTCTCTCCTTTTTTGAAAACCTTGGAATCTTTTTTGAAAATTTATCCACTGCTCCAGTGATGAGCTTTGCATCCCAGAATGACTTAGGAGGAGGTCTCCCTTCCTGTCTCCTTAGCTGCATACAGATCTTTAAGCTGATATTCCATTTGCCAAAAGGAGCTGGTAACCTCATCTGTTAAAACAAGACACCCATGCTGTAAAGTTTGTTCTCCTAGTCTTTTATTAGGGAGAAGCGGAGTAGAGCTAAACCTGAAGGCTGGGCCCTGGTTCAGCGCTAAAAAAAGTGCAGGGCACCCATGTGTGGGTGGATGGGGTGGGGGTGATTTTGCTTCAGGCTGAGCAGGAGGGTAAAATTCGAGCTGGGTACAATCTGGGCTGCTCCTGTGGCAGCCAAAGCCACAGGTTTGAAGCTTCTGTTGAGCAACAGAGTACTTTACATAAATTGCCTCAAGATGAATCAGAGATTTCTTCACCCAAGGGCGAAGATGAAGCCTGGACTGATGATAAAACCTTCCTTGGCTCAGTGCCCTTCACCACTGATGGCTTTTTGCTGTAGCTCCATATTCCTGTGCATTGAGGGGCAAGTGCCTTTTCCTTGGATGGGTTCTTAGGTGGTTCACAGGGTAGTGACTGCAGTGAAATCACAAGGTGTTGGAAGCCACAATCCTCCACTTGCCTGAGCACCTCTGGGGTGACATTGCATTTTGGACCCAAGTAGATCAGCTCTTGTGCTAGGTAGACTCAGTCCCATGACTTAAGAATGGCTAAACAGGGGTGAGCTATGGACCATTTGTAGGGGACATGTGGCCATAGTGCTATCACCTGAGGAAAGCAAACAGCCTGGCCAATCACAGAACCCTTCCCAAGGGCGCTTGAGTAAGCAATACTCTCCAAGTTATACTCCCCGGTGGATGAGGTGGTATGGAACATGGGCAACTGAGGCTGATTCTTTTAGACATTAGACAGTATTATATGTTTTCTCCTCCTCATTCTATCCATACATGAGAAGTTCACCATGGATCAAACAGAGCAGAGAGACCACAAATAGATATGGAGGATGTTATGTTTTCTTTAGGCCCTTGATTCAGAAAGAAAGGGGAGAGTGGATGTTGAGGGGTAGGGGAGAAACTGGCGCTAGATCTCTCTTGTTTCCTTGAAGGTTAATGTTAGGCTGGGAAGATGACAAAACTTGAAGAGTACCTGGAGGGAATTGTTAATATCTTCCACAATCTCAGTTTGGATGGGGCATTTTGACACCGTCTCTAAGGGTGAGCTGAAGCAGCTGCTGCCAAAGGAGCTTGCAAACACCATCAAGGTAGGTTATGCCCCTCTCACTGCAAACTTGCCCACACACCTGCACTGAGGAGAGTGGCAAGGCCTGGCAGAGGATGGTGGGGCAAGGACTAGGGTGGAGTTGGCCCCAGTTTGAGCTCCCAAAGGATGCTCCCCACTGCTGTGGGAGAGGGCCTTTGCTTCCCTCTCTCAATAACTCACTTAAGGCTCTACTCAGTTCCTCTCTCTGAGTCTGTTTCCTTATATGTAAAATGGAGAGAGGCAGGGCACCGGAGGGGTTGAATGAGTGAGCAGAAGAGTACCTTCCAGGTCCAAGACTTGTTAATTCCCGTGTGGTTCATGACCATTGTGTCCTCTGTTTTGTTACACTGGATTCTCCAACACAGTGTTGGCTAATGAGTTAATGTGCCTGGGCTTCCCTAACTCGAGCTCTGAGGGATAAGAGGCCTAAGAAAGGGTCTTGTGTGGAGGTTCTGAACTCAAGGTCTCTGTTATCCTTTTTTCCTAGAATACCAGAGACAAAGCTGTCATTAACAAAATATTCCAAGGCCTGGATGCTAATCAAGATGAACAGGTCGACTTTCAGGAATTCATATCCCTGTCAGCCATTGCGCTGAAGGCTGCCCATGACCATACCCACAAAGAGTAGGTAGCTCTCTGAAGGCCTTTTACCCAGCAATGTCATCAATGAGGGTCTTTCCTTTCCCTCACCAAAACTCAGCCTTGCCTGTGGGGAGTGAGAGTTAATAAATACACTCATGAAAAGTTCTGAATAGTGTCTGTGAACTTTTTTCTTTCCATGCCTGTGGTTCCCAGACTTGATCACACCTTACCCCTGCTCTTCTGGCAGCCTAATCTAGATCCCTTAGAACTCCCACTCCATTTGTTCATTTGATAACCAATTATTTATTTATTGAATTATTTGTTGAATGTCCACTATTCATTCATTCATTTATTCATTCACTCAACAAATGTTCACTGAGCATCAGAGACCAAAGATACAAAGTCCTTGTCTTCTTAGAGCTTGTATATTATTGGGGAGAGGTTAGAAAATAAATGAATAGACAAGCAAATAAAGATACATTGTATGGCTGGCCCTCGTGGCATGTGCCTGTAGTTCCAGTACTCAGGAGGCTGGAGCGAGAGGATTGTTTGAGTCCGAGAGTTTGAGGCTGTAGTGTGCTATGATTGCGCTTGTGAATAGCTATTGAATTCCAGCCTGGGCAACATAGCAAGATCCTGTCTTTAAACATATATATATATATATATATGTGTGTATATATATATATGATATCATATGACATGATATCATATGACATGATGTGATCATATGATACAATAGTAGTTAATGATAAGTTATATGAAAAAAACTAATGTAGAGAAGTAGAGTTGGGGCGGAAAGGGAAGGAAGGTGATGTTGGTTAAGATGGAGTGGTCAGGGTGTACATTTGAGCAGAAATCTGAAAGAAATGAAGAAGAGTGACTTGCATATGTCTAGGGGCCAAGAGTTCCTGGCAGTGAGTAGCCAAGGCTCTTGGTGGGCACATACCTGACCTACTCAAAGAGTAGCACAGAAGCCAGTATACCTGGAGTACAGTGACTGAAATGGGGAGTGGTGGGGGAATACGGGCCTTTAAGTATCAGGAAGCAGATAACAGCAGCTTGTAGATCATGGGAAGACTTTGGACTTTATTCTAAATATGCTAAGGAGACACTGAGGGATTTTGACCAGGGAAGCGAAATGATTCCATTTATGCTTTGAAGGATTACTTTGGCTGCTTTTGCGGAGAACAGATTGTAGGGCACAGACAAGCGTGGAAGCTAAGAGATCAGCTAAGAAGAGACTCCCCAGGGCAACCCTGTTCAAGAGAAATATAATATGTGTAACTTAAACTTTACTAGAAACTATGTTTAAAAAAGTAAAAATAAAGGGGAAATTAATTTTAATAACATATTTTGTTAGCCTAATAGATACAAAATATTATCACTTCAGCTATATAAAACTATTGTTGAGACAGTTTACATTCTTTTCTTTCATTTTAAGACTCTGAAATCCGAAGATTCACATATGACCATGTTTTAAGTGCTCAGTAGTCATGCATAGATCATGGCAACCATATTGGATCCTGAAGCCCTAGATCATTTCAGAGACAGAATGGGGCTGGACTAGGGTGGTGATAATGGTAGTGACAAGGGGTGGTCAGATTATCAAAACATTTCAAAGGTGAAAATTGAAAAATCAAGGGTTACTCCAAAGGTTTTCCCCTAAGACACTGGGCTGGATGCTAGGGATACAGAGATGAAAGAACAAGTCCTTGCCTTAGATGTTCATCTTTGGTTGGGGAAGGCCTGAATCACGAGGAATCCCCATGCCATGTCATCTATGTTTTGGCAGAAGTAAGTATAGGATGTCGTGGGAGAATAGAGACTGACCCAGCTTTGGGGGCAGGCTGGGGCCCATTAGGCTACCTGAAAGAGTGGACACATGGTCATAAAATTTGGGGCAGAACTTTAAAAGGGGGGAGATGATATAGAATTTGCATGTCTGTGGGCATGGGATAGTAAGAAACACTCTCTTTGGTTTTCTTAAAGAAGGAAAGGGATGGAAAGGAGTTGGGAAGAACAAGGAGGAAGAGACCAGGGAGAAGAGCATTATGTCCTATCCAACATAGGGTCGGGGGAGACTTCCCTGACTAGACTCTCCACACTAGTCTAGGCCAGGTTCTTTGTTCAACACTCCCAAAGGACCATGCTGCTCTCCTTTGGTGTTCTTGTCTTCTTTTGTGATTCTGGATCCATGGCCATGATTATTTGTTTAATATTCGTCTTCTCTGATGGACTAGGTTGTTAAAGAGCAGGTGGTGAATCACTGTGAATCACTAGCACAAGCATAGTGCCTGGAAAGAAGTGATTGTTTGTTATGGATTGAATATTTGTGTTCCTTCTGAGATTCATGTTGAAACTTAATCCCCAATGCGAGTATTAAGAGGTTGGGGTTTAGGGGGCAATTAGGTCATGAGGCTTCCACCCTTTTGAATGGGTTGGTGCATTATGAAATGGCTTGAGGAGGCAAGTTTTCCCCTTTTAAACCTTCCACCACGTGAGGACTCAGTGTTCCTCCCTTCTGGAGGAAGCAGCAACAAGGTGCCATTTTGGAAGCACAGAGCAGCCCTCACCAGGCACCTGAACCTGCCAGCACCTTGATCTTGGACTTCTCAGCCTCCAAAACTGTGGGAAATAAATTTGTGTTGTTTATGAATTATCCATTCTATGATATTTTGTTATAGTGGCATGAGGACACTAGGACAATGTTTGATAAACATTTCTTAAATGAATAAATGTGTGGAAATCAGTAAGTCTGTAGGCTTGACTCTCTATAACTGGTCCCAGGGAAAATACAAAGAAGTATGGCCTCAGGGACAGGAGTTGTGCCCTGGTGAGAAGTGCAATTCAATCTGATCAGCAGGTCACTGGAAACCTCCCTGTCCTCCAAACCCTGACTCCTCCAACCAACCACTAAAATCAGGTCTGGCACTGATGGGCAGCATGAAATCAGAAGTCAGCCCCAGTCTCTGTTTAGTGGGACCATCAAGATACCCACAGAAGAGGCAGCAGAGGCATAGCCTTGGGCTCTGGTAGAGCCTCCTGTGATTGCTCCCTCTGTAGCAGGATATTTTAAAAAATAAGAGAGACCAATGGGGTTGAGGAGGATATTTATTAATTATTTAGGTGCACTGGTCCAGTTGGATTAACATCCAAAGGACTGAGCCCTGAACTATGAAATCAGCGGAAGTCACTTGAAAGTCATTTCCACCTTCAAAATGTATTGATAATTGGACCACCCCTAGTCATCACCATTATCACCACCCTAGTCCAGCCCCATTCCATCTCTGAAATGATCTAGGGCTTCAGGGTCCAATATGGTTGCCATGATCTATACATGACTACTGAGTGCTTGAAAAATGGTCATATGTGTGAGATGAGCTAGAACTGTAATACACTGGATTTCAATTAATTGAGACATGCATTATATCATTTCTTACTTTTCAAGGAAAAACGTGTTTTACAACTTGAGTTTATCTGTCTAGTGACCTTTCAGCTGCACAGCTAGAGAAACAGGGTCTTCACAATGCCTGGGAAAGGAGGAGAGATAAGGCTCACTAGCCACAGAAAAACAGGCAGTTAATTTTTAAAGGACTCCAGCTCTTTCTCTTTCTCAGGGGAAATTGGGTTTTCTTTCATACAACTGAGTTTCTGCTTACACATTCTTTAATTTCTTTGAATTCCTGTTCCACCTCTGGATCTTATTCAGCAGCAGGGGCAGGCCAGGTGGCAAAACTAAAGAATTTTAGAAAGATTAGATACTCTGCTGGAGGTCAGGCATGACAGATGTGAGGAAAAGTGGGAAGGGAGGCTTTTTACTGCAGGAGGGTGGATTTGGCTTTTGGCTTATTTACTGTAAAGCCATGCGGAGACAGTGTATGGGAAGCTGGGATTCAGGAGATGGAAGCTGGGATCTGTGAGATGCAGTTGCATGGAAAGTGTGCGAGAAAGTAGAAGCCTGTGGATGGGGCTGAGGGGAGAGGCTAAAGATGGGGGTGAAGTGGGATTGACAGAAGAGGAAGGAGTGTGTGACCCAGAGAAGGGAGTCCTGGAATGGCCCAAGCCTGGAAGGCTTCCATCACCAAATGTGAATGAGAATGTGAGAGCATTTGGGGAAAGCCCTCCCTCACAGCACAACCTTGGCCAAATCACTTTGCCTCTCTGGGCCTTGGTTTTCTTTATTTTTGAAGAATTCAAAGGTATTTTAAACATTTATTTTGAAAAGTTTTAGACTAGGTGAATACTCAGGTGCCACCCAGTGTTAGTACTCTGAGAGACTTCAGTTGGATAGAGAGGAACTTTGCACAGGGTCTAGAAGGAGAACATCACTTAGTGAGAGGGTAGGAAGCAAGATGTCCCTTGATGCTAAAGAGTAGCAGTCAAGAGTGTGAGGTTAGAACTTATACTTCTGTGTTCAAATCCTAGCATTATCACTTACTAATTGTGAGACCTTGAACAAGTTACTTAGAATCTTTAAACCTCAATTTCCCTGTCAGTAGCATGGGGATAACCATAGCACCCCTCTCCCAGAGTTGGTGAGAGGATTAGGTCATCTCATAGCACATGGAAAGCACTTGGCACAATATCTGATGCAGAGTAAGCACTCAGCAAACATTAGCAATAACAGTAAGATCATAATTTAGACAGGAGGTAATGATTGCAGCTGACCCACTCTCTGCCGCAGCACAATAGGTATTTTAAATAGGTATCTATTTTGGTTTAAAATAGATTATTAGATTATTTTAAACCAAAGCAGTTTGAGGTTATATTTGGGGGTGGCTTGGTTAGTTAAAGTTGACCAGTGTAAGGTAAGGAACCAAGGGAAGTTAAGCAATATCTTCCTCTAAAGGCCTTTGAACTAGACCAAGCTGTTCTGCAAACTAGGCCACTCCCTTGATGCACTCGCCTTGATTTGGGAACGCTTCTGATATATATAGTAGTATTAGAATCTCTTAAAAAACCCAAAAAACCAACAACTAACCAATGAGAACAAAAGCCCAGCATATTTGCTGTTGTGAAAACACTCACCAACTATAATTTTGTTTCAAAATAGCCCACTGAACCACAAGTTGAACTTGAATCATGGCTAGAAAAATTTTAAGGGCTGCTAACCTTGGTCAAAATCCATCAGCCAGCGGCACCTAAGGACAATGACA